CCTGCTGATATGGTCAGCACTCCTCTCAATGCTTTGGTTGACCTTTGGAGTGGGGAAATGACCCAGACAATTGACCCAATTGTACCTAAGTGCCTTCTCTCAGGTCTAAGACCCTTGGTTTACTGAAGGGCTGTGGATGATGAAAAGACAAGGGAGATGGTTAGAGTGGTAATGGAGAAAGACTCTGGACAAATCTGTCAAGACATGGGCTAACACTTACTTTAAAGCCTATTTTATAACTGTGATGTCAGCAAAGAAACTATTTCTCTGCTACCATTGCAACTGCACAGTGTGGACCTGTGGAACACTTCTGGGTGGTCAGGGGCCTATTGAGTTGTGGCCTATAGAAGGAGGTGGACTGTTTTGCAGACCACTATTATCATTTTATTTAGCACTTAATGAATAAAATCTCTCACATCTGTTCTGACTTGGATTCTACATTGGCAGTGGTAGGACTGAATGGTCTGAGGGTGCTGATCTGCCCACTTGTGTGGGATATCTTTCAGCTTGTCCAGTCTGAAGATGTGGACAGGAATCTTAGAAGTTAAAGACCTACCACCTCCTTGTATGACCCCTGCCCCTCTTGGCTGCTTAAATAGGCTGGTGGGGTGCTGGCTGGCAGAGAGGGTCCAGAAGACAGTAAATGCCTCCCTCAGAGAGGGGGTGGTTGGTCCTGCTTTGAAGTGAGCACCAGTGTGTGCACTCCTAACAAACTTACACTGGGCCCAGAAGAGTTGAATAACTAGTTGAATAACTACCATCTAGTCTAAATGTACCAGTCTTGAGCAAGATGATTGAATGAGCAGTGGCTGGCCAACTTCATGGATTCCTCGAAGAAGTGCATTGTTTAGAACCATTTTAATCTGTTTTGTTACCTGGTTATGGACTGAAACACCTTGGTTTTCTTGGTGGATACCATAAGCCAGTAGATGGACAGGGGAGTGCAACCCTGTTAATTCTCCTGGACCTTTTGGTGGCTTTCAATACCATCTATCATGGTATCCTTCTGGACTGCCTTTTGGGCTTGGGTCTCAGAGACATTGTTCTGAGGTGGTTCTGGTTCTACCTTGAAGGTTGGTTTCAGAGAGTGGTTATAGGGGACTGCTGCCTTGCCCCTAGGCCTGTGGCCTATGAGGTTCCTCAAGGTTCCATCTTATCCCTCATGCTTTTTAACATCTATGTAAAGCCATAAATTGGAGAGAACATCCGGATATGCAGGCTGATTTCCCTCCAATATGTAGCTGAAACTCAGCTTTATCTTGTGCTGTCAGCAGCTCTTATGGAGACTGTGGAAACTGTGAACTGGTCCCTGTGACAGTTTTGGAATGGATGATAGCTAACAAACTGAAATTTAATTCCAACAAAATGAACGTGTTATTGGTGAGGGGGAAGTCTGACCTAGGAAATGGGTTATCTACTGTTTTGGATGGGGTTGTACTCTCCCCTAAAGGACCAGGTTCATAGCTTGGTGGTGCTCCTGAACCCTAGCCTCTTGAAGGAATTGGGGCAGCTGTGGCCAGAGGTGTTTGTAGGGAGGAGGAAAGATAATACTGATCAGAACTTTGCCCAGTATTATCACAGCATCAAGGACTGTCATTGTAATCATAACAACATTCAGTTATATCAGGCACTCAGGTATGAGGAACACTGCAACATATTGTGCACATATATTTTATATATAAAAGGAAGGTATGATTAAACAGCAATAATGCACTCTTGCAGGCATACATCATTGCGGCAGAGAATTCATCGTAGAAATCGTAGCCAATTTCTCAACTGGATCATATGCCTTCTAGTACAGGCCATACTCCCCCCAGCATAAAAATAAAAATTTTAAATAATCTCTTTAAATTGTTTCATCAATATGGGGGAAACACTGTATTATTTCTTCTCCCCACATTGATCCTTACAGTGAGACTTATGCTTTGGAGATTACTGGGTAGCAACAGATATGTGAAAGCTTGTTTCTCATGCCATGCCTTCCCCAGCAGAAGAAAAGCTCTGAGAACTGCCAGTGCAAAAATAGGTCACAATGCACACAGCATGCATGTTTTTGTTTAGATGTGAGTGTGTGTACGACCAAATATTGTTTTACAATATTCAAGATCATAGCAACAGGTAGCTGTATTTGAGTGATTCAAATAAGCAAATTACTGTCTTCGAGTTTTGAAAAGTTATTTGATCAGGAAGTCATACTGGTTGCTGGTGAATAACTACTATTCTCAGGGCTTGGCCGTAAGTTGCTTTCCACAAGTATATGCATTATTGCAATAATATGTACTGTGCACTTGCTTCCTAAAACATATAATGAGGGTGAAATGAATCAGAAACGCTGAAATGAATGAGAACAGGTTAACAGAAGTTGCATGGCTGCAGGCCTGTCTCATGCAGTGGCCTCCAGCAGACAGCAGTGGAAATTTACCAGTGTTCTTTCCACAGCTTTCTGCCAAAACACAATCTACTGCAAAAGACAACCTGAGATCCTGATAACCTCCGAGCCATTCTCATAATTGCAATTAGAACAATTATTCTGTTTCCATAAAATGAATATGAGGATTACCAGAGATCATATCCAAGTCTGTTCTGGATAGTAATCATCTAAATTAATTTGCAAGATTTATCTGAAAATCAAAATGATTAGATTCATATTCACTAAAGCCTTAAAAAAAGACACATCTCTAATTTTATCATGCCCTTTAGAAACATATATATATACACACACACACATATACACAACATACATAGGCACAGTTTACTTGTGACTTGACAGAAACAGACATCTAAAATATCCTCAGTTCTTTAAGTGTACTTTTCCTGCACTTAGGATTTGCTAGCTGGAGTGGAGTTGCCTTTTTTTGAAATAGTTTTTGAAATAAAACTACTAAGGTCTAAACAGATCGGATCCTATCAAACAGATCTGTGAGTACCATAAAAAAGATTTTTGCCAATGACCACTTATGCAGCAGCTCCTTCCTCATGCAACGTGGTCCCACATAACCAGCATTTTGGGTGTAGTGAGGGGAGATGTGAGAAAGTCTTGCTCTATGGGTGGAAATCCATGTAACTTTCAGTTACATCCAAGTTATAATAATGACTTGATTTCTGAAAAGCATCTACATTCAGATTGATACATTATTACTTTTCAAGATATACCCCCTCAAATATATTTTTTCGCATAGTACATATTTGGTTTAACTTCAGAGAACCGAAAACTTCCATAAAGGTATACAACTGATGAACAGCCAAAATGAAAAAAAAATAGTTTCTTGCTTTTATTTGGGCTACTTTTTGTCCGTATAACTGTCAAGTCACAGTTATAAAACCATGCATAAAACAAACTGGTCTTGGGAATGCCTCCATTCTGGTCAAGGATATAAGGGTTAAATTCATATATTTGAAAGATGATTGAAAAACCTACTGGAAGCATGATCAACCCAAGGTCGCCACCACTGCTTTTTTTTGCCCTTGGTTTTCTCTTTGTCTGCTTCGCCTAAAATGAAATATGTCCAAAAATTAATTTTACAAAGTGAGAAACATATTATTTATATTTTCTTTCTTCTCTCTCTAAAATGTCCAGACTGTGCATGAACATTAAATTCTAATATGAAAGGAAAAAATGCACCTATTCCTTGCTATTTGTTGACTAGCTCATGACAGAAACATGGACAATTTTGTCTAGTAATTAAAATAAAGAATTCTACTTCAAATCTGAAGATATTATGGAAATAATAAATTCTATATAAAGTTTATTCCTGACAGTTGTCTTTTCTTTTCTTAAAAATAAATATTTTATGTGAATTATGGGAATTCCCATATTGACACATAATTTTTAGATATTTCAGATGGTAGCCATGTTGGTCTACAGTAAAACAGTTTGATTCAAGTCCAGCAGCACTCTAGAAACCAACCAGATTTTCAGGGTATAAGCTTTTGAGAGTCAAAGCTCCTTTCATTAGATACAAGTAGTAAAGGAGATCCCTGAGTCTTTGTATCCCAGTCAGAAGGTAGGAGGGGTGCTGTAAAGGATGCTTGTAAAGGATGCAAAACTGTAATGCATATTGTAATCTGCTTGATTAGAGCAGAAGGTAAATGTTTGGGGTCTGAAAATTAGCATCTGTGTGACATAAGAATCCTATGTTCCTATTCAGCCCTGGGGGGCCCATTTGTTACTCAGCTTCATACTAGCGAACGATTCAAATTCAAACGTGAACAGTGAATCTTTTTCAACATTTCTTGCAATACAAAAACATTTTGTTAGATCTCAAGATCTACAACTGGATCTTGTTACATGTGATTTCGTAAGGAGCTCTCTAACCACTTATTTTAAAAGGAGACAGCAACCCTGATGTGGGCAACGAACTGAACGTGCAGTCTGTTTCTCCACTAAAGGGAAGGAGAAGGTAGTAGAGGTCCAAATGCATACTGAGGCCATAATCCTATGCACATTTACTAGGATTTAAATCTCTTGGAACAAACTGGGAATTATTTCTGAGTAAATAGGCAAAGGATTAGGCACTCTAGTTGCTGTAGTAAGTAGCTGGATGGAGCATAACCCCCCCCCCTTTATTGAAATCAAACAACAAACACCAACTATAGATGTACAGAAGGAGTTACTACCATCATCGTCATCATCATCATCTTCAGGAGCCTTTTGGACTGCTTGCCCATCTGAAGATTCTTGGTTCATGCTCAACATCCTCTCTTTGCCCTTTTTATATTTTTGTTGCCTGGCTTTGATACGATCCATTCTGTTAAAGGAGATTTTACACTGTCAGTCATCCTTGTGGATCACAAAGTTCATGTGATTCTTTTTGAGGCAAAATAATTTCAAAGCATTGTTAAAACATCATTCGATTATTCTTTCTCTCCAACTCGCCCTCACTTTGTTTTTTTACATTGTCATGAAAATAAATTATAAAGAGAAGGTTTATACTGTTGTATACACTCTGATTTGATATGCCAGAATTATCCTCCTAACTTGTCTTTCCAGTTCTTCAGGCTGATGTAAAAATTACTGTTGATTATGACTAGCAGGGAAGGGTAGGCTGTGCTTCCCTAAATGATAAAAGGTCAAAATCTGTTGGTGGTCCCTGGCCTGAGAGATATCTGGCTGTTCTCAACCAGAGCCAGGATGTTTTCTGCCCTGGTTCCAACCTGGTGGAACTCTTTGCAGAAAAACATCTGTGCCCTGTGGCATTTGATGCAATTCCACAGAGCCTGTAAGTTCTGCCAAGCGTCTGGTTAAGGACGGTGATGTTTCCATCTTCTTGGCACTCCCAACCCCTCCCTCCCTGTGAAACAGTGGCACTATTAGAATTTCTAGCGCCATCTGTTAAACTACCTTCTGTGTTTTGTTGGTTTTAATTGGCTTTTAATGATGTATTACACAATACTGTTGTACACCACCCTGAGCCCTGTCCTTCGGGTGAGGATGGTTTAAAATAGAATTTAATAGAATAATAAATAAATAAAGTGTTTGTAAGCCTGGACAGAATTTTGCTAAGGCAAAGAAACCAAAGAAGGGTCTAGGTAAGGTTTCCAGTTATGAGAGATGGGCTGGAACATCCTGCATAGCTCACCATCCTTCTACAAGGCTACTAATTCCTGTTAGAATATGCTCAACTGGATATTGCTTACACAATAAAATCCCCAGTATTTATGGGACTGGATCAACAATATCTGATAGCATAAAAGGCACTCTTGATATTACCCAATTCTGATATTCCTTTTTCAATAAATAGTGGAAACATCTAGAATCATTTCAGGCATCCTTTTCGTTCTATAGCCTGCCTGCTATAGCCTGCTATAGCCTGAGGAAGGACCATGTCCAACTGAACAGTCCAAATACTGAGGAAGGACCATGTCCATTTGAACTTTAAGGCCAGGTTTACTGTCCATTCAAACAGTGCCATTTTAAAGGACATTTAAAGGGCTGTTGCACTGCAACCCAAATTGGGCACGCTTCCTCTCACTCTCCTGCTCCTACACTTGCTGTTTCTGGGTTGGGGGGCAGTGCAGGCACTTCTTCAATATGAATTGTTTTAATCTTACATCATAATTTCAAAATAATGGTGGAAGTACCACTTTTAATTAAATAGATTTTATATATTTTATATGCTCCTTATATTAAAAATTATACTCATGCCCTTCCTGACATTCCAATATGAAATTTAATAATAGTTTTTGAAGTGCACAACCCTAATTCCTCATGTTGTTCACACCGTTTAACCACATTTTTCATACTGTTTCTCCATTCTATTCCCTTTCTTTATTGTTCTCTACCAGATGCTCCTGCTGAGTACAGCCTTGGCAGCTTTTCTAGACTGCACCCGCTCCGCAAAGATGGAAACCTTTCTCCAGCCTAAGGAGTCCTCCTCCAACTTAAATTGCTTGTTAGTTAGAGGAAGAGTAAGTTAAGCTGTAAGGGCCACGGTGGCTCAGAGGTTAAGACGCTGAGTTGCAGACCAGAAGGTCTGTAGTTCGGCACTTCGAGACCCTAGTGCCGTGTGATGGAGTGAGCTCCTGTCTCTAGTTCCAGCTCCTGCCAACCTAGCAGTTGGAAAGCAAGAAATTGCAAGTAGATAAATAGGTACCACTTCGGTGGGAAGGTGTTCCATGCAAGTAGATAAATAGGTACCACTTCGGTGGGAAGGTGTTCCGTGCACCTTGGTGTTTAGTCATGCCAGCCACATGACCACGGAAACATCTTCGGACAGCGCTTTGAAACGGAGATGAGCACCGCAACCCTAGAGTCGGATTCGACTGGCTTTCGAGCAAGGGAACCTTTACCTTTACCTATTATCTATTTGGTTTTGCATGCATGCATTGCACTTTGATCATGGTCAGTGTGCACTGTCTTTTACCATGTTTTAAAATTGTTTTTAAACAACATATATTTATCCTTTGTATTTGTATTCTTATAGGTCTCCCTGAAGAAGTGTAGCTGAAGCATGTTGGGATGGTATAACAGAATAACACTACCGTACTATTTCCCCCATTGCACAATAGCTTCTTGGTTTTTTGCTTCGTCATGAGTGTGGCCCTCTTTCTCCCACTTTCATATTCCTACATGGCCATAAGGTCGTGAGGCTATGCAGCTCTAGTTCTTCTGGCCCACTTCTTCCCTTCTCTCTCACACTTGTCATGGAAGTGAAGTTAGAGCAATCCTGGATAAGGAACCAATTCTTTTGGAAGAAACTTCTTTGTAACAGACCACTCATCGATAGGAGATGAGAGCATTCCTTGTTTTCATCCTTCCTTTCAACCCCAAGTCAGCAATGGACACACATTATGCTTAATGAGCATGTCAAATACATCTCTAAGAAGACACTCAAACCATGTACAATGCATAAACCTCAAATAATTTTTTCTAAGACTAACCATTTGGGTTTGTTATGTGTTAGGCTGTACCCCCCCACCAGCAGCAGATCAGACAACTAATCTCTAGAGAAGGTGGCCAGCTGAAGGATGGAAGAAAGGAAAGCAGACATACTGTCTTTTCAGTTGATCCATTGATTTCTTCTCTTCCTCAATTCTTGCTTTTACAGCCTTCACAATGGTGGCTTGGAAAAGTTCAGCACCTCTGGAAAAAAATTGCCCCATAAACTCAAGTAAAAACAATGCAGCACAAATTCATATACATATAACAAGAAAACAAAGGCCAATGCACACATCATATATTGCACTCACACTAATGGCAAAATGTAGAACAGGATAGCACCAAACATTGTTACCTTAAAACAGCATTTATCTGCTTTATTTTAAGGAGGGGGGTGGGAATATAAAATTCTTAGCTATTTTTAGCACTAGAAAGAGACTTTAATCTGGAGAGCTGGGTTCGATTCTGCACTCCTCCACATGAAGCCAGCTGGGTGACCTTGGATCAGTCACAGCTCTTTTAGAGCTCTCTCAGCCCCCAAAATATGTCTAGCTCGCCACCTAGCATGACGCTAATGAGCTAGAACTTAAGGCTGCTAGGCAATCTTTGGATCTCCCAGCTATACTACACACAATGCTGTATGATAATTATTATTTGGCAGAAGTGAATGTTCTAGTTATTTCCCACGCTAGCCTTATGAGAATTGACAAGCATCTACATCAAAGATGCAAATCATACAGCTCATTGATAACTGATACCAAAAAGGGCCATGGCTCTAAGGTAGAACACATGGTTTCCATGCTGAAAGTTCCAGTTCTAATCTCTGTCATCTCCATTAAAGGATCTCAGGTTGTAAATAGTGCAGATACCAGAGAGCTGCTGCCGCTCCGAGTAGAAAATACTGAGCTAGATAAACCAATTACATGATATGGCATAAGGTGGCTTTATAAATTCAATGCCTCTGGAATGTTCTTGCCTAATTATTGTTGCTTCCAGACAGTTGATAATGAATTGCACTTCCTTAGGATGCCGTAAAATCTGAGCTATTCCTTCTGGCTTTCATTCAACTCCAGATTGCACACACCAGGATGCAGACTGTATGCACCAGCCCCTTGGAATTCCATCAGAAGTTCTCCAGAGCATTGGAATGCATTACTGTGTATTTTTTATGCTCTGCAAGCATAGCAAACAAGGAGGGCCACTATTATCTCAATTATTATGGTAGCATGAAGATTTATATGGTGAGGGTACTGTGAGCCAGGTACACAGTGAAGATACAGGTAGTAGTAACAGTGAATAGCCATGTGTAGCTTGCTTTTTTCAAGTCAGTGATAGCAAGTAGGTTCTTTCATGGCTGTTAGCTTGCCATTTAAATCTTGAGGCATTCTGTATGTTATCTGTGGAGAATCTTGTGGCCCTTGGTTTAAAACCAAAAGTAAACGAGGTCTGAGGACCGCTTATGAACGTGAGTCGTTTAAGCATTGATTAAAGAGAAAAGAAAGCTCCCCACCCTAACTACGCAATAGAGAATTAGGCGAGCGGGGGAGGGACGCCTTCCGAACGCATGAACCTTTGAGAGAAAGAGGGGGGGAGCGGAAGAATAACAGTTAAAACAAGAAGTACTTACCAAGGAGTGTTTGAGCGTTTAAACGCATAGACAAGCCCCAATGTTGTGGGACTCCCCTAGACAAGTGAGGCACTGGTCATGATCGTTGGACTGCGCCATCTTGGTCCCACGTCTCGTGTACTTATTAAAAAGTGCCATTACCACCCCAAAACATGACAGAAATTCCCTTCTCTAAGTCTCTGGTTTGTTTTTTTTAAGGTTATCACCACAGAAGATCAATGCTGTGAGTAAGCAAACAATCTGAGGTAGGTTAGAAAGAGCAAAGCAGGAAAGTGTCCTTTCTCCATGGCAGTGAAGAGAGGACTGAGGGAGGAGTGCTTTTCCCACCTCTGTCACATGCCAGTCTGGTTGGGAAGATTTCGGTGCAGGCCAGAGGGGAGGGGGAGTGTTCTGAACCTTCTGAAAAGAGCCTCTATGGCTGGTTTGCACAAGTCCAGTACCATGTGGGACTGCACAGAAGCCACAATGACGAAATTAAACTTCTTCTTGGTGAGGACGTGGTACATCTAGTATACCTGTTGTGGAGTTCAAGGGCCTCCATGCTCCTGCCCTCAGCAGCTCCCTTATCCATCCTGCCTTTTTCTGTCCTGCTTTGGGTTGCAGAGCCTCAGAATTGGAGAGGATAAGGGGTTTGCAGCACCTGGTTCCTCCTCCTCTCCACAGGGTATCTCTTGCACAGCCAGGAAAGAGAACCACCTCCTCTCCCGCCACCTGCTCATTGGCCTACTTCTAAGCCCCTATGAAGCTAGTGCAGCAGGTTGGACATGCTCAGTCAATTCCCCCTGAAATCTTGCAAGAATTAGCAGACTCATAGACCTCGGGCAATCTCAGACTACACCTACAGCCTCTTTCCCCCATTGCTCTAGCCAACCTAAACTGCCAGCAGCTATTGGCAGTGATTGCACTGGGGTTTTAAAAGGCCCACACTGTTTTACTGCTGTTGCTTATTCCTCATTGCTGCTGCTGTTCTGGCTGGCTGGCAGCTGGTAGGTGTGGTTAAACTGTGGTCTTAAAGGGCCCATACTGTGTTGCTGCTCTTGCAGCATGATTCCTTGTTGCCAGTGTCCTGGTGAGCTTCCCTATTGCTGGCACCAGAGGTTCCCAAGTGAGCATCCTGTGAACCCAGGGTAAGTCTGGGGGCAAGAGGAGTGGGCCTGCTCCAGGACACCTGATTTTCTTTGCTGAAGTAGGGGTGCTTTCTAGGAACACATTACAACCATCTTTTGCCAAGATGGTGATCTTCTTGAATAACAGGTATGTTTTTTTAAAAAACTGTGATTAATTTTTAGTTGTTCAATTATATGGAATAATTGATTAAAGCTCATAGGCCTACATTGTACACATTAAAAAAACAACCTATCAATCTGTCATACAAATTGTCAGAATGCAGTTGCATCAATTTAAGTAGCAACTTAAATACTGCAATTTACCTGGATGCCAGAATCTGTGAAGCTTTAATATCTGCAACCACATGAAGGAAGTAGTAACTCATGAAGACTCTTCTTTGAAGCATCAGGAAGGCAAAGCAAATACTGTCCCAGATAATTCCTGCTTCCCCACTAGGCAATTTACAGATTTTTGAATCAGCAGCTGACAAGAGTGAAAAAATTCCGCCATCACATTATATATAAACTAAAATCTAGAGCAAAATGTTTAAGTTCAAATTCACCACCATATTATATAAGAAAAATCAGTGGCAACATTTCATTTGAAAAACAGGTAGATTTTGTAGATTTATTTGAATTGTCAACATTTTTATAGAAACACAAGATAGATCAGAAAAAGCTAGAAAACAGCTTGCTATAATGGCATTGTTTCAGATGATTTCATGCTTTTTAAATTGTATTTATGCATTCACTGTGAGCTGCCCTGAGCCTGTATTGTGTGGAGGGCGGGGTATAAATGGAATGAATAAATAAACAGTGAGTTTTCAACAGGATCGAGAGAAGAGGTAGTTCAGAATGAGGGGCTGATGAAGCCCACCCTGAAGGCTTTGAAATGTGACTCCGGCTTAAAGTTGAAGCTCCTTCTGAGTTTCACATTTTGCAAAAACTTTAGCAGTTTTCTAACAGAACTCTATTATAGGACGTATGTCAGATTATTACAAAATCCAAGTCTGTGATGCACTATGACAGTGTTTTACCAATATCCAGGGCACCATCCAACATGATGACACAAGATATAGGATGTCAAGAATTAGATGCAAGCCACTTTGCGTGTGTCCTATTGTTAAAAGTTGTAGTCTGTGTGTAAGTAAAAATCATACTTTCAAATGTATCAAAGTGCAAGTTTTATGTTCTTAAAGTAGTAAAATGTAGATGTCACAGATCCCTCGAGAGGTGGCATGCAAATGCCCTAAATAAACAGATACATGTAATAATAAAGGAATTAAGTAGTACTTACGAATATCATAACCTTTAACTGTACAAGACAGGCTAAATGCCTGGATTACCCAACAACTGTTCTGCATTAATGACTGAACGTAACCACATGCTCCTATCTAGAAAAAAATAGAAATAAATATATTTAAATATTTCACGTACAGAAATATATTACATTAAATTGGATGATTATTAGCTTTAGTCCACTACTAGGTGCTATTACCAAACAGTTTGGATCCAACTAATTTATTCATTTATTTAATTTAGTACATTTTATCCCATGTTTCCTTCGAGATGCAGTTCTTCCCTTCTACATTTTATCTTCACAATAACACTGGGAAGGAGGTTATCCAGCAAACCGTAGGCTGCTCTCTGTGTTATTTATTTATTTATATTTATTCATTTGATTTATAGCCCTCCCTCCCCTGTATGCAGGGTGGGTAACAGCATTCATAAAACACTCCATACAGTTCAAATTATTAAAACAATTCTATAATACAACAGTATAGCAGCAAGTAACAACAACTAATAGATGTCATATAAAAGGGGCACAACCAAGTGGTCCTTATCCTAAAATTTAACTGATAAGAAGGAAAGGGGAGGAGAAAGAGGAAGGGTGGCTAGTCGAGGATGGAAAACCATTGCTGTCTTCAACCACAGGCCCAGTGGAACAACTTGGTCTTGCAGGCTCTGCAGAACTGCATCAAATCCCGCAAGGCCCAAATCTCACCTGGCAGAGTGTTCCACCAGGTCGAACCCAGGACCGAAAAAGCCCTGGTTCTACTTGAGGACAGCCAGGGATCACCAGTAGGTTGTTTCACTGGAGTGTAACTCTTTGGGGGATGTACCAGGAAAGGTGGTCCCAAGGGTACACTGGTCCCAGATCATTTGGGGCTTTAAAGGTTAATACCAAAACCTTGAACCAGATCCATTATTCAACCCAGAGCCAGTGCAGTTGGCAAAGGTCTGGCTGGGTATGGACTCTGTAAGAAGTTCCTGTAAGAATAATTGCAGCTGCATTCTGGACCAGCTGTAGTTTCTGTGTCAGTCTCAAGGGAAGCCTTTGTGTAGAGCGAGTTACAGTAATCTAATCTGAAGGTGACCACTGCATGGATGCCTGTGGCTAAGTTGGGGAAGACAGGAAGGGGACCAGTTGCTTAACCTGGTGCAGATAGAAAAATGCCAGTCTAGCTACTTTTGTGACCAGGGCCTCCACTGAAATGGAGGCATCCAGAATCACACCCAGACTTCTGACTATCAGCCCTGGTGTTAAAGGTACTCCATCAAGAGCCAGGAGTTGGCATCCTAACCCTGAATTTCCCTGGCCCAGCTGCAAAACCTCCATCTTAGATGGCTTTAATTCCAGCTCGCTCTGTTTTAGCCAACCAACCACAGCCTCCAATCTTTCGGCCAAAATATCTGAGGTGGCATTCAGCTGGCTGCTCAACAACAGATACAGCTGGGTGTCATCTGCATACTGGTGATGCCCTAGCCTGAAGCTCCACACCAGCTGAGTAAGGGGGCACATATAGATGTTAAATAATGTTGGAGAGAGGACTGTTCCTTGGGGGACACCGCATACCATGGGCTATCATAGTGAGACCCTCTACCCTAGTGCCACCCTCTGTTCCCAACTTTGGAGAAAGGAGAAAAACCACTTCTTTCAAGGTGACTGTCTCACCAACCCTTACTCAGGGCTTGGTCATGCATGCCAGATTCACTTTTTTGCAGTGCAAAATAGTTTTGCAATGTTGCGGTCAATGTTGTGGACCTGGCACTGCACAACATCAGTGTTGGCAAAAGGTTTACCTTCCTAGCCCCACTACCAGCATGTCTTGGGATGGGACAAAGATTGGAAGGAGACCATATCTCCGCCTCCTTCCCTTATGTTTTAATAGCTGTTGTGCAAGTTATTTTATTATTGAAGTTTAGAAGTGTGTCCCATTACAGAGACCATAGTCAGTTGCTGGGCAGACTAGATCCCTCTATACTGAAAGAAAAAGCAAGGAAAAAAAGAGGGAGAAATTAGAGCATGGGCTATAAGAGGGACAGAGAACAAAAACTGGTGTTAAGAATCCTGCCTTGACTGCATTTCACTACAAAACTCTCCTTGTGGAACAGATTTTCCCCTTTCTTGCTACAGCCCCTTGCACTACCTGAGAAGATATTCTTATGTTTTAGAAACCCTCAAGAATGGTAGAGGACATGGCACAGAAGCAGCTCAAGACAGAAAAGGCTGAAGAAAAAAAACTTCAGCTGACCAGCTGCATTAAGTACATTGTCCTTTATCAGCCAGTAAAAGCCAACAAAGAGCTTTTGATAAGAGCCAATTTTGATCAACAGACTTCATAGTCTGTCGAAGAAGTTAGTTATTTAAAAAGGATTTCCCTTCTTCCAATAAAAACCATTTAGGGCTCATAAGAAGAGCCAATTGACTACAAAGTCAATTGAGGGTGTTACAGATTCCATATATTTGACAGTTTTTCTTCAGATTCATTCAGCCATCAAATAGCTGTAAAAGTTCTTCAGTTATCAATTACACAAATCATCTGAAGATGAGGGTTCCCTTTCAAGCAGGGAGATTACTGGACATACGTTACAATACCTATGTATAAAATCACTGTATTACAATATGTATATTCTATAGTTTATCCTATATAAATTTGGTTTAAGAACACTTATTTATAAAAGACCTTGGAATAAAATGCCCCAGATACTTACAGAAAATATATTTTTCATTGTAATCACAAACACATTGTATGCTATCAGCCAGTCCCAGTAACGAAGAATGCTTCTGATAGGTTTGAGTAACAGATCTCCCCCAAACAGCAGGAAATAGAAACAAGCCACCAAGTAGCCCATACAAAATATACTGATCCGAGTGGTTCCCGTTATAAAGATGATGGTGAGGACAAACCAGAAGAGATAACTGAATGTTATCACTTTACACATATCTAGATAAGAACTGTGATAAAACAAAAGGGGAGAAAAAGATGCAAGATCCATTTTAATTCAGTTCCATAGATGTTTCGATATAACAAATACTCGACAGCTATTTTAAAGCAATATCTGGTAAACATACAGCATATCTTTCACAGTGATAATGACTACATGCTTCGATGAAATCATCAGGGCTCTAGTCGGGGGGGAGCTCTCAGGTACGGAGCTCCGGAAGAGAACCTCTAGGGGGCGGGGCGGTCACGTGGTGAAGCCCCGCCCCTTCTTTACCCCGCCCTCTGCTTCGATCCTCATTCCGTTTGGGAATGAGGATGAAGCAGGAGGGTAAGTAGCCGGGCCTTCTGACACACTTCCGGTGATGTCAGGGGGTGTGGCCTTCTGTCACTTCCGGTGATGTCAGGGGGCGTGGCATATGCAAATAAGTTATGCTAATGAGTTATGCTAATGAGCTCCGGCAGCTCTTTTTCTACAACAAGACCCCTGGAAATCATCATATGATATTGACAATGTACCATCTGGTTCATCTTTCCATTGGTAACTCCATGACTTTCCTTGCATAACTTATTATGTGTTATTGGTTGAACTTCGCAAGACTGTACAGAATCTATCATTATAATTAATTAATTGCTCACTGTTTCTAATTTGCAGTCAAACAGTAACACAATGAAACAACATTGTACAGTTTCTCCAGAGGCAGGTATTGTCTAATTTTTGAAGCATGTGATGATTCAGAGCTATTATCACAGGACCACGTCTCCAGCAGATTTCTACCAATGGCTTCTTTCTCCTGTGATTATCATGTACACTATATTATTTTACTTGTTTATTTGTAAAGTTTCAATAATTAAAATGTAAAATATGTACTGAGGATAAATTAAACATCGTAGAACAGTCAGCATTTTTTCACCCATGCCAGGCCTGCCAGCCGGCTCCTTATTTGTTTGGGTCAGACCTTGCCACGTTGATCCATGCAACCATCACTCCAGACTGGACTACTGCAATTTGCTCTATGTACAGTTACCATTGAAAATACTTTGGAACCTGCAGGCGGTCCAGAATGAAGCTGCCAGGTTGCTGACTGGAACATCATGTCAGCTCACATTACTCCATTTCTGTGGCAGCTGCACTGGCTACCAATTAGTCTCTGGATCCAATTCAAGGTGTTGATGTTAAATCTAAATCCTTTAACAGTCTGGGACCCTCAGACCTACAGGACTGCCTCTCCTGTTACAACCTCCCACACACTCTAGTCATCATCTAGGGGCCTCTTGCAGGATGGCTTGGTTAGCTGTGACCAAGGGAAGGGCTTTCTCAGTTGTGGCCCCTATTCTGTGGAATGCACTCTTTGATGACACCCATGCCCTGCCGGACTTGTTTAATTTCTGCAGGGCTTGCAAAGCTGAATTGCTTAGGTTGGCCTTTGGAGGACAGACACATGTTTGCGCTGTTTTAATAGCAGTATGGTGATAGCCACGTATTTTAATATTTTATTTATTGATTGATTTGATTTATACCCCGTCCTCCCTGCTGAAGCAGGCTCAGGACAGCTTACATAAAAATGTTAAAACAGATAAAAACAGACTATAAATATGAATATAAAACCCATCATAAAGTGCTAGTAGGCAATTTGTATAACAGTGGTGAGGCACTGGCAGCAGTCAATCATAATAATGAGTGCAGTCCACAGTTGATGTTAGGACTGACTCTCAGCCTGGTTCATGCTGGCGACCGACAGGTGGTGGTACTAGGGCACAGGGTCTTAAGCTTATTAGGTGCGGCTCCTTAATTGAATCCCTGGTGGTTTTGTTTAATGTTTTATATTGTTTTTATATTGCTTTTACTTTATTGGTTTTAATGTTGTAAGTTGCCACAAAACCCTTTGGGTAAGCTGTGACTAAAAAATCTAATAAATCAATAAGATGCTTAGAAAGATGTGTAGCCATTGCACATATCCCTTACCGGCAATGGATAAAGTCAGGGACAGGATTGTGTTGGCTAAACGATGCCGCTTCAAGGTTCATACAAATCTCCACATTGTCTCCAGCCATGATACGTACAGCAGCCTTGTTCTCATCTTCAAATGTTTGCCTTTGTAAGGATGCACATAGCAGCAACATAAAATCATCTGGTAGCACAAAGATGTTAGATAAAATGTCAGCCACTAACTTAGGTTAGCTGTATAAAACACTACATTTTAGTGGAGATAATCTACAGTACCCGTTTATTATATTTTCCATAATGTACAATCCACTTTACTTCCTATATAGAACAGTATACATTAAGCCACAAAATGATTCATATGAAAATCTTAAAGCTAATAGAACACTACCACATATACAGTGCTAGCAGAAGTATTAAACACCTATAAGCCATAACTACTTCAAATGAATAGATAATTAAATGAGGAAGAATAGGTGTCTGTGAAGATGATTTCACAGCTGCAGCCCTGCAAGCAAAAGGGCTTTGCCACAAGCACTGTAGAATGTTATTACCCCAATGGATAACACCTAAAGTAGGGCTTCTCTCAACATTCCTAACATATGGGAAAGGTAATTCTTCTGATTTCAGGTGTTATAACTTTCCCCATGAGATTTCCATATCTACCTCTCACAGCGATTTAAATTTTACATTTTCTAATGACTGCCATTTTTAACTATTCGAAACACGTTTTTTATGGTAGAAAAACGAAGCAATGTCTCGAAATTTGTCAATTTAATGAACATTTAATACATGTAGGGACCTGCAAGGAGTTACATTATGTAGGGGACGGGGCACAGTGAAGGAAAGAAAAGGACCCTTCTTGGCCCACTACTACCACATGGGATCTTCCTCCAGTCATTGGAAATGGTATTTATTTATTTATTTAATTCAATTTATTTATGCAGGTATGCAGTCTCATCTGGCTTACTCTCTCACAGAGAGTCCAAGGCAAAGATAATCATCTTTCCTCTCTTAGATGTGACAGCAATCATTGCAAAGTATTCAAGGCTTACGAGTCAGCTGTGCATGCTCAACCAGTCATCTCCTCCAAACACACATCATGCAGTGAAACTCCTGTGATGCGTCCATGCTCCTGGCTTTGGTTCATCAAAAAGAGCAGCAGGCTGCACCCTAAGCAAAAACTAAGCCCTTGATAACTGACTCAAAAGAAATAGTCAGCTGAGTACAGTTTAAGAGTTTTGAGGGAGTACTGGTTCTTATGTGTCTTTCCTGCAGGCAAATGACTAAATTCTGGAATACGATATGGTTTAGAACAATACACTTTAGACCAATAATTTTAAAAGTGCACTACAAAGAATGATAAAGGTGTAAGGCTGCCTAGGTGTTCACTGAAATACTTACAGGCAAGGAAGACTGGGTTTGGTTGACGAATAAAATCTGGAAAGTATAACCACTTGATGATATTATTATTGAAGTTGGAATTAGGGTTCCTCCATGGATAATCTATGAAAGTACAAGAAAAATTACAGTGTTTCATAACATTTATTTAGACCTTCTGCATATTTGCTAATTTTCTAGTGTTTAATGGAAAAGCAAAAGATTATCACAATCTGTAGAAAACAAGTACCAATACTCTTACCTTTACAAGAAGCAGGTGGAATGCCAATGCAAACGAAATACTGGAATGTAATAATGCATGCCAGAAAACAACAGTATTTTGGCCAGACCTCTGCAATGGCTTTTCTTCTGCGTCGATATAACACAATAATTAATGAAAGGCCATGAATCATGGCATAAAAATCCATTCGTTGACCAATTACATTTATTGATAAGAGGAAACAGGTCTGTGACAAGAAGAAAAATGTATAGAAGTTATATCCATCTGGAAGGATGATTTCTATATTCCTCAGCTTTCTTTCTTGGAAAATCCATAAAACGGCATGAAACATTTTGCATACTAACATGTAACAAACTGGAGGTCCACAGAGAATCTTAGGAGGAATAAATCTTAGGAGGAGTAAATTTGGAAATTCTATCTCATCCACTCAAATTTTCTCTGCAAACATTCTCTAAGTTCTCGGGGCCTTGAGGTGGCTAATTTCCAATCTCTCGCTGCTCTACTCATTCTATCCCATTTGGAGAATTTTCAGTATTCATCAGGCCAAAGGATTTTTCCTCACCATTTTGGTTAATTTACAAAGGCGTGTTTTCCGTATGGCCAGGGAGTCTCCCAAGCAAGTAGAAATCTCTAACACCATGTCTGTGAGTGGTTCCATTGTGCAGTTCAGAACATAAAAAGGTTAGTCAAGAATAGAAGAGGGCCACTCTTCTCTCTTGACTAACCTTTTTAGGTTCTGAATTCTAGGTTTTAGGTTCATTTCCCCCCTTTCCCTTTTTTGTCCATTGTGCAGTTTTCATCATCCACACAGGGACCAGCCAGTTTATTATTAGACACAGTGATAGTTCTCTAATATTTCTCTCATCCAATGTCATGCTTTGTTTACTCTTTTATCAATAATGGCTACTTCAGTATAAGAAAAAGTTCCCCCTTGCTTGCACAACCAGAAAAGGTTATAAGGTTGCTGTCAGAGGTCCAGCAACTACATTCTAGACATGGTTTGTTATGATAAATTTGATCAATCCAATTGAAGACTCAGGAAACAAAGGGGATTACTGCTTTCCTGAGGCTCACATGGAAGTAATGTTCTCCATGCACACTACAGTACAATGTAGAGTTGCCAGTCCCCAGCTGGGGGCAGGAGATTCCCAGGTTTTGCAGGCTCCTGCCTGTCACCGGCCAGTTGGCTGGCAGGAGGAAACCCCCATCCCCCCGCCGGCATCTCAAAGGGAACAATTATCTCAAGGGTTATGAAACTTAACCTGTCTTCAACTAGACAGCCAGTGGTTAGAGTGTCAAACTAGGATCTGGAAGACTCAGGTTTGAATCCTCACTGTGCTGGGATGCTTGTTAGGTGATCTTGGGCCCGTCACCTGATCTACCTCACAGGGTTGTTGTGAGGACAAAATGGAGGACAGGAGAAGTGTTGCACTTACCTGTAATTGCTGTTCATCAAGTTGTCTTCTGTACAGGCACACACTGGGACTGGGACTGTGCAGGCCGGCTGCTGGAGACCTTTTCCAGCATTTTCCTGGAGAAACACTTTGGGGGAGACCCTCCCCTTTGGAGTGTGCTAGCTACCATTTTCCCACTCAGATGGTCATGTGCTCCAAGGGGAGGTATTCCCCTTCCCTCTGTTCTCCTGAGCTGCTATGAGCATGCAGAGAGGTAACATATAATGGGATAACAGAAGAGGGACAGGAGGGAGGCAATGTGTGCCTGCACAGAAGACAACTCAATGAAGAACTGTTACAAGTAGATGCAACACTGTTTTCATCATCGGTCTTCTGTGCAATCCCACACGAGGAGACTGACACGCTACTTACTTGGAAGGCAGGAATGGAAGCTCTCACTGGAACAACCACCTTGCCCACTGATGTATTCTTTCTTGCATTAGTGTCTATAGAGTAATACTTGATGAATATGTTGGAGGACAACCATGTAGGTGTTCTGCAGATGTCAACCAGTGGAGTACCTCAACAAAACACAGCCAAAGTTGCCTGAGAGTGTGTAGAATGTGCTTGGACATGGAGGAGACATGGCAACTTAGCTTGTTCGTAACAGAGTTTGACTTCAGAGACTATCCACCTAGATATGATTTCGGATACAACTGCATTCGCCCTAGAAGCACCAGAATGGCAAATGAACAACCATGAGGTCTTACAGAACAGTTGTATTCTTTTTAGGTAACATAATAAAGCTCTTTTGACATCTAACAAATTGAAAGTATTTCTGCCTCCAAAGAGGGTGATGGAAAAAAGACAGGTAGGATAATGTCTTGCATCAAATGAAAGCTAGTCACCACCTTTAGGAGGAATTACAAATTGGGTCATAGGACCATCTGATAAGGTTTGGGAGTGCTCCACTGAGGCAGATGTCTTTGCTGCTCGGTTTTCAGAGCAAGATAACGCTTTCTCCCATAGACTAGTTGTCAAAGGTCAGGGTAGGCCTCCAGAATGAACTGAAGGCAAAAGTTGCACAGTGACATATTGTGCCCCTTGCCCATAGACAAGACAGAGAGGGTGTTCATCAGACCTTGACATTTTTGTGCTGCACTTAGTACATTTTTTGAAAAATGCTTACTGTGACATAATTGTGAGAAGGGCAGAAAATGAGGCAAAAAACCTCACTGAGGAAACAAACTCAAGAAAAGAGATGAAGAGAACCTGTAAACTGGACCTCTCACCATGGTGGCGAAGACTGAGCTGTCTGACTGGAAAAATGGTTGCTAGCATGTTCTGAAGGGGAGGGGCTAGTCCCAAAGTGTTTCTAATTACTAAGAAAATGCTGGAAAAGTCCTCTAGCAGTTTGCCTGAGCAAGCGCAGTCCCTGTGTGGGACTGCACAGAAGATCAATGATGAACAATGTAAGCTGCTTTGGGTCCCTGTTCGGGAGAAAAACAAAGTTTGAGTCAACACATCTACCCACCTGGATCTATCTGTTGGGGAGGAAAAAAGGGATATAAATAAGTAAATAAAATAAATAATGGCAGCGGCAACTCTAAATGTCCAGAACTGCATTCCGGAATTTAAACCCTGGTCTTAGAGGAGCCCAAAGAGAAATGGCATCTTTCATAAACAAAATTAGAAAAACTGAATACATTAAAATTAGATTAAAAGTGTTGGGGGGGGGAATTAGAAAATTTTTTTTAAAGGAAAAACAAAAAAATAGGGCAGAAATGATTGTGCTCCCCTGTTCCTGTGGTAACACTGCAATTTGTATGTAAAGAAATAACAGTTCACAAACCCAAAATGCAGCCATTGCAATAATTACTCCTTTAATCTGAATGGCATTGAAGTTACCTCCAAACCAAACTTGTAGAAGAAGTAGTTTACAAAGTACTTGAGACAGTTAAGTATTCCATCATCCAAATGTAATCTAGTTATATCATGAAAAATTGTTTTGGTTTCAGGTGCAGTGAGATTGTTTCGACATCTATAGTATTCCTGATGTCGGTAGACGGTAACTTCAAAGGCCAGAATTGCCAGCATCAGCAGATTATTCTGTAAGAGAAATTAAATCAAATAAGATACAAAGAATTAATTAATTGTATCAAAATCAAACATGCTATAATTTACAATATGCTGCTAAATATCCTAGTCTACTGTATTGTACGATAAAAATCAATTTACATCTCTTGTAAATAAAGCATAAGGAAATGGTCTTCAAACAAGAGTTAAAGTCCATTTATTTATTTCGATATTTTCTCATTGTTGAACAAAAGCACTAGACCGACATTTAAATGTTAAAGGGAAAGCTTGCATATTGCCTACTGTCTGCATTTAAAATTACCTTCTATTACCATTGGATTACCTTGCTCTGTTTGCACTGTGCCATTAAAAATAAGGCATCTTATCCTGAAGGCTGTTTTCAGTTCTGTTTCTGTTCAACAATACTTATTATCATGTCTCATCATATATATTAATCTCCCCCACCTTTCTGCCTTCATAGGATAGCTCTGGGGTCAAAATCTCCTGGTGGTCCCTGGCCCAAAAGACATCTGGCTGTCCTCGACCAGAGCCAAAGGCTTTTCACCCTGGGCCCAACCTGGTGGAACACTCTGTCTAGTGACATCTGAGCCCTGTGGGACCTTTCACAGTTCTGCAGGGCCTGTAAGATAGAGGTGTTCCACCAGGCCTACAGTTGAGGACAGCAATGGTTTACCAGCAAGCCTGGCCTCCATCTCTCACCCTTTCCCTCCCCTCCTCATGTGGGTGGTATAAACTGACATTAGACGCCTCTAGATGAACTTGAGAGAGGGCACTTGGGAATGATCATCTTAACCGTCCAGGGCATCTTGTCATTCCAGTACTGACAATAACACCAATCATATCAACAGGAAAATCCCCTAGATCCATCAGAAAGCCATTTGGATCTATCTGGCTCTGGGAGTGGATCATTTTAATAGATCTCCCATCCCTGCAGGGTCTTCTAAGTCTAAACCCAAGCAAGCAGTGATCTGTCCATGAGAAGGGAACCATTGACAATTCCTCTATCCTCAGACTGCATTCTTCCCACCAAGAACAAAATAACAGAGCAAGAGTGTGACCTGCACAATGTATAGGACCGGTTATTACCTGAAAAAGGCACATGGTTGTCATGGAGGCCATGAAAACCTGTGCCACTCCCGACAATACAGCCTCAGTGTGAATGTTGAAGTTCCCTAGAATAACCAGCCTACAGGTCCCCAACACCACCCCCATCAGTTCAGGCACGGAGACTGTTAGGCAGTGGGGTGGGCGGTACACCTACTGAATCCCAGTCCTATCTCTCAGTCCCAACATTAGGCACATAGCCTTGAAACCGCAAGTGTCCTGAATGGGGCACCTGAGTTAGGGGGATAGAATCCTTACAGACTACAGCGACACCAACCCACCTGCCAGACGGATGCTAATGCATCACCAAGTACCCTGAGGGACACAGTTGGGAGAGGTTAACCCCTCCCTACATAATTTGTAGATATTATCATATTATTGCATATTAGAATCAGTATAAGAAGTGTTATTTACAGGTCATCCAGCTGTAAAGACACTTTTACAAACAACATGAGGAGAGAGCAGAAGAAAATAGGAATTACCCTCAAGTATACAAGCAGAGAATCAGGCGACTTTCTTAACCCAACCCATTCAGATGGATCAACGGGGCCTTTGTAGAGAATGGAGTCAATCAGAACTTTTCTCTCTTCCTCAGTACTGTTTTCAGGCTAAAATGTTAAAAAATATATGAATTTTAATTAGATCTCTTCAAAGAGAATGTTAATTAAACAGAGGCAGGATTAGATCAGCAGAGCAGCTAAACAACCCAAGCACCTGCAAAGGGAATGATAATTAAGAATAGGCTTTGTATTTGTTTTTCAGGCACTTGCTAGCTTCTCTTTATAAACAGCTGACCTTAAAGGTTCCAACTAGCTATAGAAAGCAGTATATCATGGCATAGCCAACATCAGTATTCTGCTTGTGGGGATTGCATATATAAGGGTATCACTGTGGTTTTCTTCGAACACAGAGCTTTTCATCCAAAATAAAGGAACCCCATGATAGATATTGACATAATGAAACAAATTTGAATTAAAATGAATCTCTCCCTTATTATAAAAGAGTTTTGGGTGCCAGAATTCTAAAATTGGCCCCTTTAGTGTTAGGCCGAAAAAACTGCCACTCGGAAGACACTGGCTGGGTTCATTGGCTGCTTTGTGCAATCCCGGCCAGCGTTCCAAGGTCATTTACATATGGAAGCTGATTGGACTACACTCCATTCCACACCTCAAACTCACCCCCCCAAGGCAGTTGGAATTTTCAGTTCGGAGAGGAGAATGATGTCAGCTGCTCCCTAGGCAGAGGCTGTGTGTGTGTGTGTGTGGGGGGGGGTTGTAAAGACAGACAGGCAGATAAACGTTGGCTGATGGTTGCCAACTCCAGGTTCGAACTCCAGGACATAGGGTTGCCAACTCCAGGTTGGAAACTTCCAGGATATTTTAGGGATGAAGCCTGCTGAGGGTGGGATCTGAGGAGGAGGAGGAAGAGGGGGACCTCAGACAGATACAATGCCATGCTGCCCACACTCCAGACAAGCTGTTGCCAGTCTCCAGGTGACAGCTGGAGAGATCTTAAAGCTTTGGTGCTACTTCAAAGTTCCCCAGGAGCCCAAAACAGAGAAGTGTTTTGGAAAATCTTGAGGAATTGTTTGGTGCATTTACGATGGGGCTCCTGGGGAACTATTGTTGCCAATCTTGGCCCAGCAGCCATCAAACCATTCTCTTCAACCCCCTGCTGTGCAGCTGACTTTCCCCTAGGGTTGCCAATCTCCAGGTGGGACCTGGAGATCTCCCACTGCTACAATTGATCTCCAGATGACAGAGATCAGTTCCCCTAGAGAAAATGACTGCTTTAGGAGGGTAGACCCTATGACATTATACCTGCTGAGTCCTTCCGCCCCCCCCCCGCCCAATGCTGCCCTCTACAGAATCCACCCCCCAAACCTCCAGGTATTTCCCTCCTTAGAGCTGGCAACCCTACATTCCCCTCAGTGCCTGTTGGGAGTGGGTGGTGGGGGAGGGGAAGGGAGTGGGCGACCGGAGGCTTCTGCCTCCTGTCTCCGGTCCTGGAGTGGGGGGGGTGGAAACGGACCCGGCAGCCGGAGGCTTGCACCTCCAGTCGCCGGCCCTGGAGTGAGTGGGGTTGAGTGGGGGGAAACGGACCCTGCGGCCGGATGTCGGCCCTGGAGTGGGTGGGGGTGG